TATAGGAATGTGACTCTAATGCTTGTCGGTAAATTAGAATTCAAATACGTCCAATAGGTATACAAGCGAACGTCGATACATCTTACCTATTACCCGATGACCTGGGGCGCTTACTGGTCGCTTTATTAAACGATATATATTATTAATTAATAGCACAAGCGCCTATCACCCGATGACCCAGGGCACTTATTGGTCGCTTTATTGAACGATACATATTATTTATCAATAGCACAACGGTCATCAGATGATAGGTGCTTGTGCTGTTACTTAATATTTTATTATTTAATAGAGAGGCCAGTAAGTGCCCTAGGTCATCGGGTGATAGGGGCTTGTGTTAATAATTAATACACTATTATTTAATAGAGAAGCCAGTAAGCGCCCTAGGTCATCGGGTGATAGGCGCTTGTGTTAATAATTAATATTTTATCATATAATAGTGTAGCCAGTTAGCGCCCTGAGTTATCGGGTTATAGGCGCTTGTGCTATTAATTAATACTTTATTATTTAATAAAGCGACCAGTAAGCGCCCCGGGACATCGGGTGATAGATGCTTGTGTTATTAATTAATACTTTATTATTTAACAGAGTGGCCAGTAAGCGCCCCGGGTCACTAGGTAAAAGGCGTTTGTGTGAATAATTAACATTTTATTATTTTATAGAGTGGCCAGTAAGCACCCCGGGTTATCGGGTGATAGGCGCTTGTGTTAATAATTGATATTTTATTATTTAATAGAGAGGCCAGTTAGCGCCCCGGGTCATTGGGTGATAGGCAATTGTGTTATAATATTACAATTTATAATTTTTACGCGTCTTTGGCAATGCCCTTTCACTGCTGTGCTGTCTGCTCGACGAAACATTCTCCCTAGATCGTATAGCTATATAAACGATTTAGGGAAAAAGTTCCGATATTGAATTCACCTAACCCAACCCTATCAAAAACTTCAATGCTGAATATACGTTGATTTTAGCGTTGAATCAACGCTGAACCAACGTTGAATCAACGTTGATTCCATAAATGACGGAACGCCGAAATTAGTCGTAATTTACATTGTAGATTCAACACTGATTCAACGTTGAATCAGCGTTGATTTAGCGTTGATCAAAACGTTAAAATTAAATTTGTTTAAATTACAAAGTAGAATAATAACATTTGGAGCAGATATATTGACGATTATGGAGGTACTATCCGTATGGTAACACTAAAACAGGGGGTTAAGTTATTTGATGTTAAACTGTATTGAATTCGCATCATATTTTTCTATCATTGAATTAAAGTTTAAATCAACGCTGATTCAACGCTGATTCAACGTTGAATCAGTGTTTATTCAACTTTGAATCATTATTGAATCAACAATGCAAATTGCGACTGATTTCAGTGTTCCGTCATTTATGGAATCGACGTTGATTCATCATTGGTTCAGCATTGATTCATCGCTAAAATCAACGTTGATTCCGCATTGATTCAGCATTGAAGTTTTTGATTGGGAACGCTGTATATGTATACGACTCATATGTATAGATAGACTTGTTAGAGATTTTCTCTTAGCTACAGTACGCCATCTGTCGGATTGTAGGGTCCTCATTTACACTTCTGGGCACATTGCACTATATGGGGTGTTACATGTAATTTGTCAGTCTGCTTCTTTGAATAGTGCTTATTGTTTTTTTTTAACTAGTGATAAAAAAACAAATAATAAACAATCAAACAGCTAAAAACTCAACCCCGCTCTTCTACTATTTTTGTAAAATGATAATTAATATCATTTAGTCTTGCTTTCAATTTGGAAATGAAGGTTGTAGAGTGTAGTCTCATGCTTGTTTGCAGGCTGTGGGACCAGCAGACAGTTTAACTACTTGTTTGCTTATAAGAATGAGAAAAGAGAAAGTTGCATGAAATAATCATGTTGATGTACCTTTTTTTCCTGTAGCAGCTTCGAGTCATAGGCAACTTCAGTAACTGGATTATTGACTATTATTAGCTATTGGTTCAAATAAATCAAACTTCTTCTTCTGTTGGTTTTACATTAATTTATTTTATATGACTCGTACAAAAATAAAAACAGAAAAAGAATGAATATCAAGTTACTCTCCAGCAAGATACTTTAAAATTAGTAACTAACTTTTGCATTCGATAAGTTGCAGCGGGCTACTAACTAAAATGCCGCGTGAAGAAATGCACCTTGCGCGATTAAGCTTCAGTCAAAACTTCTTTATCTTACATGCTATTGAGCTGGTACTTTACTTGCTGACTTTATGTATTTAGGCTTTGCGGCTCGCTTCCGTTGTCACTTGACACTTCCAAGGGCCATAAAGTACACAGTCAGCTTTGTTAGCTGACGACCATCGTTAGGGATGATCACTCTTTGAAGAGTCTTGAAATTCAATCGTTAAGAAAGAGAAAAATGTGGTACCAATTAGAATTACGTGAATCAAAATAATAAATGTATTTGTTCATGCAAGTCATCACTAAACACTTCCCTAGTACTGTAGTCTGCAGTCCAATAAAAACCAAAAAAAAAAAAATTTCAAATGATATGTGTTTGCACCCGTAATTTTATATAAAATCCATAGTAAATCAAAGATTGATTAGTGTTTATGAGAAATACCTTACAATTAATCAATGTGATTTTATCATGATATGCAAATATTTAATAAATAAGAAATAAAACTGTATACATAACAAGCGACTATTTTATAGGAGTTAATGGGAAATATATCAGCATTTATCGAGAGTTACATAAGCCTGTACTATACCGTATACTATAAGCTTTGTCCAGTAAACAAATGGTTGTGGAGATTACTGCATAATCGATTTTTATTGGACTTTGCGGGTGTATCAAAAATCTAAAACCCCTGCGTTAAAATTTATCTTTGTATTGGAATTTACAAGAAAAATACGAACCTGGCACGATACTTTTGTGGAAATATTGAGTTTTTTATACATAACAGCGATTTAAAGCATCGATTTTATTGGTTTTTATTGAGAATCCCTGCCCAATTTCAATTGAAGTTATTTGGTACTGCTTAATTAGTGTATTTGTTTTCTATTACGATTTTTAACAGCATTTGTACTACTACATGATCAGTTTTTTATGGATTCTTATCGTCATTTGTAGAAATATATGTAGCTCTCCTTTTGGCCGATAAAGTTTATTAGAATTTATGAGAAAAACGCGATTTCTGCGCGCGATTGTTTAAAATCTGGTGGAACTTATTTTACTTAACAGCTATTTATATGATTATTTCCATTGGTTCTTATTAAGTAGTATACATTGTATTGAAAACTGTATAAGATTCGATGTCAGAAAAAAAATCGTCCACTGAAGAGGACGGTACATTGAACTAAACATAAAATTGATCATAAAAAATAATTTATTTTCAACGTACTGCAATCAATAATGACCGACATTGGTCTGCCTATAGTTTTACGATTTGTGCGCATTTATATTTAAGTTTTATTGCCAACACCGAATAAGTATCAATAAAATTTTATTTGCTATAAGCGCTAACTGTACAATAAATAACAGACAAATAATCCAACGTATAGATTATAAAAAGTGCGTATAATAATAATTTACTTAGATTAGTTACATACAGTATGCAACAATTACCTAATGAGATTCATTATCTACATGTGCTATAAAATGGTGAATCTCAAATTAAAACAGAAATAACTGATGAATATAATATAATTATGAGTCAAAACATTTCTAAATAGTTACATAGAAGTAAGAGTTGACTAATTCCTATAAAATCCAGCTTATACTAAATTCCACTTTGCAAATAACACGTTAACTATTTACCAAAAATAATGTATGGACTGTATACGATAAGTTTACTTAGAATTTGTTCATTGTATTGAAAGCATAAGTTACATGATGGTTTTACAGATGAGTCCTAACACATTTTTTTAATGTTTTTTCGTCAGCTGTTGTTTATAATGTTCGTTTGAAGGGAAGAAAGAAAGGACTGGTCAGAGCGTACAGGTCGAATGAGTTAAGCATTAATAAATTTACATCAAATTCATAACATTTATTTTACTGATATTTTATCGTAAAGTGAGATGATCGCACTCTCATCGGGTTAATAGTGACAACAGTTATTATTAGCGCCGACGTAAAACACTATATAGTGGACAGATAAAAAATTAGGCACAATTAAATTTAAAAAGTAACGCAGCGCATTCAAACGCAACATACCAGCTGCACACAAACGAAATCAATAAAAATAGTAAATAATCACCAGTCACAAAGCACACCCCAAGGCGAAATACAATAATAAATTAATAAGTAGCTATCGCTGCGCGTATCTTGTACGTTGGCCAAAATGGCGGCGAATCGCGCGAGACAAGGGAACGCATACCTGGGCACGCGCTGTGGCGATGCGGCGGGAAATATGGCGTCGGCCTGTATCTTGTATATCGAAGGTCTTATGCGTGGATGATGATGACGACCACTGCTCGGGTTGGCTTGAGAGTTCTGCTTGGCCAAGAGACAGATGGACGTTGCTCGTCAATTCACTCGGGCTCGAGAGTGTGGTAATATGGCGGATGGCCACCGCGTGGCCTGGAAACTTTAGACACAAGAAGAACAGCGTCTCAGGCGTCGTCTATGCAGCACATGTAGTGTCACACGGAAGGGCAGCTCCCGTGGCCTGCGAGGAGGGACAGCCCCCGTAAGCAGCTCTTTGGGAGGACAGCTCCCGATCAACGGAAAAAAGTTCAGCTCTTTGTTTCCGAGGGCGCAAATGGCAGGAAAGTTCGATCGCGTGAAAACGTTTCGTTCGCGTCGACCTCGAGGTGCTCTGTTACACGGCAACAGCTCCTGCTTGCTTGAACTTCGAGTCGCTACTGCCCGTCCCACGCATTCTCCCTTCTCTCTCTCTCTCTCCTCCCTCTCTCTTTTCAGTCCTACCTAGCCCCTCCTACCTATTCGCTTTGTTGCCTGCTCTCCCTTCTCTAACCTGAAAATGCTGCCCGCCTATTTACCAGAGGAGAATATTTAATTTACAATGTTATTTGATGAGGTACGGTCTTCGGTACCCTCCATCCGCAGTGGACAGTGGCGAGACTCATGTCTTCTGAAAATACCCGTGGATGTTCTGACGGAAACAACTCGAACGAGGTTATCCGGACCTGGGTGGATTTCAATAATTCGGCCCAAGGGCCATTTCGATGGTGGGTAGCGCTCGTCACGGACTAGGACCATATTGCCGACTGCCATATTTTCCGTTGCTGACCTCCATTTATTGCGCTCCTGTAGCTGCTGTAAGTACTCGTCGGACCAGCGTTTCCAGAAGACGTTTTTCAACCGCTGGACTAGCTGGAACCGAGTAAGGCGGTTCTGCGGCAGATCAGGTTGATCCTCGTCGGGAACGAGGATCGAAGCTTCCCCTATTAGGAAATGCGCTAGGGTTAAGGCATGTAGATCGGTTGCGTCGACACTGAGTGGGGTTAACGGACGAGAATTGAGGCACGATTCAATCTCGGTCAGGAGCGTGTATAACTCCTCATAGGTAAGTACGTGTTCCCCTATAGTTCGCTTAAGGTGGTGTTTAGTGGACTTTACCCCTGCTTCCCAGAGACCTCCGCAATGAGGGGAGCTGGCGGGAATAAAAGACCAGGTGGTGCCGTCGTTGGCCAATGCCTCCGCCGATGCCCGATAGAATTCCGATGCTCTGTGGAACATTGCCCTTAAGTCCTTGTCTGCCCCATGGAAAGTCGTGGCGTTATCACTGTAAAGCCGCTGACAGCGACCTCTTTGACTGACAAACCGACGGAAGGCAGAAACAAAACTGATGGACGTAAGATCACTCACGAGCTCGAGATGCACTGCTTTGGTAGCGAAACACACAAAGAGGACTATGTACCCTTTTGAAGTACAGTTTCCCCGTATCTTGCTGGGTCGTACTGAAACAGGGCCCGCGTAATCTAAACCGGCGTTCCGGAAAGGACGGGCCGCCGTTACACGGTCACTCGGAAGATCTCCCATCATCTGGTGAATAAGACGTGGTTTTACCTTCTGACACGTAATACAATGTCGAACCTCGGACTTTACTAACCGACTCCTATCTGTCACCCAGATCATCTGAGAGATGGTGCTAGAAGTCAAGGTGGGCCCTCCGTGAAGGCAGGTATGGTGAGCATGCCTATCGAAGAGACGAGCTAGAGCAGAGCGACCCGCTACGATTGGGGGATATTTCCTATTAACTGGCAGAGGCGCATGTTCAAGACGCCCACCTACCCGCAGGATGCCCAAGTCGTGATCGTAAACGGGGTTTAGTTTGCTCAAGAAGTGGTTCTTGGGCAAGTGATCGCCGCGCGACAGCGTTAGTAGTTCATACTTGAAAAAATGCGCTTGTGAAAGCAGTATGGCTGAGGCTCTGGCCTGTAATAACTTCGCTGCCGTCAGAAATGCCGGTAAAGGGGGGAGAGCGGACTTTCTTAGTCGAAGCAGTTTCAAAGGCCGTAAGCAGTACGCTAGGACTCGAACTAACCGTGTCAGGGTAGAGAACCTGGTGAGTATATCCGATTCAGGAGGGGCCGGAGGAGTTGGTCGGGTGGTCAGCACGCGCACTTGTCCAGCCTTTGGCGGCCAAAGCTCCCGATCTTGATCGAGCCAACTCGGACCGAACCACCATTGTCGAAAATTGGTTAATTCAGTGGGCTTACAGCCCCGCGAAGCTATGTCAGCGGCATTTTCCTTGGACGGGACGTGGGACCAAGTGGCAGCCGGAAGCTCCGTTTGAATAAACGCCACCCTGTTTGCAACAAAGGTCTTCCACTGGCGGGGATGCTTATTCAAGCAATCCAAAACTATCTGACTATCAGTCCAGGCGTAGACCTTCAGCTGTTGGAAAAAGCGAGATTTTTTGAGGTGCTGAACAAGCGAGACGAGAAGAGTTGCTGCGCACAATTCAAGATTAGGAATGCTAATAGTTTTCAAGGGGGCGACCTTGGTTTTGGACATTAACAAGTGGGTATGACATCGGCATTCCCCCGTAGTCACTCTTAGATACACTACGGCGGCGTACCCTCTCTTTGATGCATCGGAAAAACCATGTAGCTCATATTCTTGCCCTGAAGAGGTCCCAACCCATTGAGGGATAGTTAAGTCCGATAGGTCAGAGATAGAGCTGATATAGGCATTCCATCTGTTACGGATCTCGGCCGGGACCGGGTCGTCCCACTCGCATCGGAGTACCCGGAGATCTTGCATTAGTATTTTAGCTTCAATAATTACCGGGGATACCCATCCGAAGGGGTCATACAATCGGGCAATTTGGGCTAGTATGTGACGTTTCGTGATGCTTCCCATCGTTGCTTCAAAAAGGTTGAGGTTAAACTTGAACTCGTCCTTCACTGGATTCCACCGTAGCCCTAGGGTCTTTACGGTTTGGCTCTCGTCGATTTGAACGACTGCATCTCGCGGGAGCAACTCGGTCTGATTTGCGGCCCATTTATCCAATGCCATGCCTGCGGATTTTAATATTGAGATTAGCTCGTTCCTTTTATTTTTGGCTCCAGAGAGAGTATCGTCCCCGACAAACATATCGTCCATGTAAACGTTTTCTTTTAAAATCTTAGCTCCGAGGGGAAACCTGGAAATCTCGTCATCAGCAAGTTGTAACAGGGTACGTATAGCCAAGAACGGCGCACAATTCGTACCGTATGTCACCGTAGTAAGTCGATAATCGATGGGACTACTTTCCTGATCCGGGGACCACACGATCCGCTGTTGATCTTGATTAGCGCGGTTAACCCAAATCTGCCGAAACATTTTTACTATATCGGCTGTGAATACGAATTGATACCTACGCCAATCGAGCAGCAGAAGCGAAAGGTCGGTCTGCAAAGGGGGGCCTGGGAGCAGGTGGTCGTTCAGACAGTGATTGTGCGTTTTCCTAGCCGCATCAAAAACTACCCGAACTTTCCGGTGAGCGTTGGATCCAGTCACTACAGCCTGGTGAGGAAGGTACCAAGCCTGTGAATCGCCAATCTCAGTGGATGATATGCGAGTCATGTGACCAAGGGCTTCGTAACATTCCATAAATTCTCTATATTGGGCGGACAACCATGGGTCCTTAGTGAATCGCCGATGCAGACTTGACAGAGCGGTAATCGCTGTTTTCCTGGTTTCTCTACCTAGAGGGGGAATCCCCTCTCTCAGGGGCAGTTGCACAGTGTAACGACCTTCGATGTCTCGTGAATGGGTGGTCTGATATTGGTGTTCACAATTTTCGTCCTCGGGCTTCCCAGACTGATGAGCTTCGGAAAACCCTTCAACCAGCCAAAACTTCTGTAACAGATTGCTCAAGTTATCCTCATAAGTAGCATGCAGGGCTTGGACACGGTCGACGGAGATTAGCGCTGCCCGCCTTGCCGCAATAGGTCGTACGGGACCCGATATGATCCATCCCAGGCTAGTGTTTTGAGCGGTTAAACTTGTGGGCGGAGCTCTCCTAAGGCCCGACCTTAGCAGCCTGCCGTAGACATCGGCTCCGAGGATGAGATCTATAATTCCCTTGCGCATAAACATCGGGTCTGCTAAATCTAGTCCATCCAGAACCTGAGGGGGTAGTTCAGGGAGGTCCTGTTCTGGAATATAAGACGTGAGGCGAGGAAGAACCAACGCCGGAACATCAAGGTGGAAACTGGGAGAAACGGTGGATCGAATCTTGACCGTCACAAGAGCCCTGGCTACTGCTGCTTGCGAATCTCCCACCCCTTGAAGCGCCACCTTAATAGGCGTTCTCGGTAAATTCAGCAATTAAGCTAAAGATTCCGTTACGAAGGAGGTTTCGGCTCCTTGATCTAACAAGGCTCTAGCCCTCGAAGTGTGTCCATTAGGGCCGGTAACGTCAACCTGGGCAGTGGCTAGGATCACAAGAGAGTTTACCATTGGGAGGCTCGTTGTAAAGGTATTTGCTTTGAATCCAGAGCCCCCTGTGGCAGAGTAGGAAGGTTTGCCCTCTGGCAATGGTCGATTGGAGTCGAAGTGCCTTGGAGGGTCTTTATGGAGAAGGGTGTGATGCTTCTCCTTACACGTTACGCATCGAACAAGAGATTTACACGCGTCAAAATGATGGTTGCCTAAACAATTGAAGCACAGCCCGAATTATCGTGCATCATTTTTTCGTTCGTGGACAGACCTTGACTTGAACTTAGGGCACTTCCAGATTGGATGGACGCTCGAGCAGACCGGACAGCTCGGACTATGGGTTTTATTTATTTTCTGAGAAAAGTGCGCCTTGCGAGGAACGATGCTGGCCTTAACCGCGTTTGTTTTTCCTTCTAGGCCAGGTTCCGCCCCTAACATGGACAGTCCTTGGATCCGATTTTCTAAAAAATCGACGAACTCGTTAAAGGTGGAAAATCTATCCAGATTACTTGGGAGGTTATCGCCAGCCCTAGTCACCGTCCGACGATCCCTGACGCTCAATTCCAACTCCCATACCTTACGTGAGACAAGGTCTAACCGGCTGGAAAGGAGGTGAACCAGCCAAACATTCCAGTGCTTCACCGGCATCTTCAAATTCTCCAAGGCTCTCACAATTCTCTGCGATTCATCGGAGAATGACCGTAAGCCCGCGGCAGACTCTCGAGTCAAGTGCGGTACGGCATATAGCGCGTTCAAGAGATTATTTATTGTTAAGCGCAGGTTGCAAAAGCGCTTCTGCAAGGCTGCCCAAGTAGGAGCGTAGTTGTCCCCTTTGAGTGTCACGTCCTTTACGAGATTCGCAGCAACTCCAGTAAGGCATGACTTGAGATACTGTAACTTATTGACATCAGGAATGTAATCGATTTCATGAACGAGAGATACAAACAGGCCCAAGAAACTTTCCCAATCTTCGTACTTCCCCGAAAAAGACGGAAGGGCAAGCTTTGGTAATTTTCCTAATTGAGGGTCGATGTTAACTGATACGTTGGGGTCGTTCCGTGGGGGGCGATTTGATCCTTCGGCCTCTTCTAAACCAGTGAGGACTGTCAGTAACTCGTCGAGGTAACCCTCGTAAATGCTCTGTTGTAAAGTAAATTTTTTCGTAGCGACATAAGGGTCCGACTCAGCATCTTCGCGCACGACGATATCAGCATGGACAGTTCGAGCTTCGTCCCACACACGATTAAGCGCTGTTATTCGTGATGTAATCATATTCTTGGTAATGGATTCTTGATCGATCGCATCAAATAGGGCCTTCATTTGCCCCATTTCTGAAAACCGAGCTTCTTGCAGTAAAACTAACCTTTTTAAGGTAGAGGGTGCCATGCTGTGCCTGATTTTAATGTAATACGGCAACGACTATGATTCAATAATAAAACTTAACGTGGGCTGCACAACATATAAGGCAAGGGGGTCAGAGTAAATAATATAAGCGTACGAATGAGAGAGAGAGAGAGCGCGCCATGCACCAATACCCTTGAATCGAGAAAATTGTTACGCAATATAACCGCACGCTAACGCCCGGTACGCCCTGACGAATCTACTCGTTCTATGGTTGTGAGTTCCTCACCCGGGGCACCAAAAAATGTTTATAATGTTCGTTTGAAGGGAAGAAGGAAAGCACTGGTCAGAGCGTACAGGTCGAATGAGTTAAGCATTAATAAATTTACATCAAATTCATAACATTTATTTTACTGATATTTTATCGTAAAGTGAGATGATCGCACTCTCATCGGGTTAATAGTGACAACAGTTATTATTAGCGCCGACGTAAAACACTATATAGTGGACAGATAAAAAATTAGGCACAATTAAATTTAAAAAGTAACGCAGCGCATTCAAACGCAACATACCAGCTGCACACAAACGAAATCAATAAAAATAGTAAATAATCACCAGTCACAAAGCACACCCACGGAGCGCAAGGCGAAATACAATAATAAATTAATAAGTAGCTATCGCTGCGCGTATCTTGTACGTTGGCCAAAATGGCGGCGAATCGCGCGAGACAAGGGAACGCATACCTGGGCACGCGCTGTGGCGATGCGGCGGGAAATATGGCGTCGGCCTGTATCTTGTATATCGAAGGTCTTATGCGTGGATGATGATGACGACCACTGCTCGGGTTGGCTTGAGAGTTCTGCTTGGCCAAGAGACAGATGGACGTTGCTCGTCAATTCACTCGGGCTCGAGAGTGTGGTAATATGGCGGATGGCCACCGCGTGGCCTGGAAACTTTAGACACAAGAAGAACAGCGTCTCAGGCGTCGTCTATGCAGCACATGTAGTGTCACACGGAAGGGCAGCTCCCGTGGCCTGCGAGGAGGGACAGCCCCCGTAAGCAGCTCTTTGGGAGGACAGCTCCCGATCAACGGAAAAAAGTTCAGCTCTTTGTTTCCGAGGGCGCAAATGGCAGGAAAGTTCGATCGCGTGAAAACCTTTCGTTAGCATCGACCTCGAGGTGCTCTGTTACACGGCAACAGCTCCTGCTTGCTCGAACTTCGAGTCACTACTGCCCGTCCCACGCATTCTCCCTTCTCTCTCTCTCTCTGCTCCCTCTCTCTTTTCAGTCCTACCTAGCCCCTCCTACCTATTCGCTTTGTTGCCTGCTCTCCCTTCTCTAACCTGAACAGCTGTAAACTTTTTATGTATGATGTTAACTGTAAAAAGGAATAACGAATATTACACATTCGTTTACGTAGATATTCATTGCTTAGCAAACTCAAAAAAGATAATCTTACATGCTTAATTGAAATTAACTAGTATCCTAGGAAAAAACGAAGTTTTGGATAAAGGGATTGATGCCTAAAAATTAAACACAATTTGTAACAAACTAAATTTATGTACACTGATAAACCGGGAGAGACAAATAAATTCCATTAGATTACGGTTATCGGCATTTGCACCCGTCTACCCCAATTCGGATATGTAGAATTCTAAACATATATGTTAACTTTAAGAGCATAGTTGGAAAATGCACTTTTTTTTTAATTGCAATAAAAAAAAAAGAAAAAAAAAAGTTACCTGATACATTTGACACGTCTGATAGAAGATACATTAGCCAATGGTTCAAGACAATGCTTTTCGATAATATTTTAATGAGTTATTAATAAGAAAAAGTTATTAAAATGTCCGTTACCAAATAACTATCAACGCACATAAAAAATACGATGAGATTACTAATGGGATTGGTCATGTAAGAATCAAAAATAATAAAAAAAAAAAAAAAAAATGAATGTACACTGCTGAATCAGGAGAGACAAATAAATTCTAATACATTATTTAGGCTATTTGTTTAATATCGGTGTTTGCACCCGTAAATTTCCATTTAGTCATATAAACTTGCAAACTTTTGATAATATCACAAGCACGGTTACGAATTGCGATTTGACTATGAAATACAATAAAAAGTTATAAGAATTATCTGATACATCTTCCAATGGTTCAACAAAATTCTCTTCACTAAAAATTTAAAGGGTTTTTACCTATAAAAACGTATAAAAGTGTTATCAACGAATAACTATAAACACGTAATGTATTGTAGGATTACCTTATGCGATCAGATTCAATGTTATTTTTATAAACTCCAATAAACTATTTATTTGGTCTGAAAATGCGATCTTAAAAACTAACATTTGAAAAAAATGATGGGCTTTTTACTATAAAATCGAATAAAATAAATTTGCCATATAAGTGGCAAATAGGAAACATTAAAACCTTTATTTGGTCTTTATTCTGTGCAATTAAACTCACCGTTTTTTATTGGTTTTTAGTGGACTGCAGTATAGGGTTAAGTTATTGAATTTGAGTAAATGTATTTAAATTTAAATAACTTAGTTCCTTAAATTTGAAAAGTACTGTTTGAAGATATATTTCAAACAAAAATATAATAATTCATATTCCTTTTTTTTTATCATAAATATTTCTTGTATTGATTTTGAATTGCATACTTATAGTTTTTGAGAATGTTAAAGTATTAAATTTCAATTATAGAAACTTAAAAATATGAGTAATTTTTATAAAAACGAGAGGTAAAGATTTTTTAAATACGCTACCTTTTTCGAAATTATAGTTACTGTTGGAAAATATTTAAATGCAAGAGCAGTCATGAAAACAATTATTATGTTACTTGATGACTTATTAACATGAGTTTAAATACGGAAAATGATGATTGAAACATCGTATTTGAAACGTAAAATTTTACATAATAAACTTTTATTCTTATAAACTAGCATACTGATTTTGCTCATTACTGCAGAGTAATTTTTTTATAAATTGTTAAAAAACAAAAAAATTTTTTTTTTATTTTCCACGTAAAATTCAATAAATTTCAATAATTTTGTAACTTTATGATATTAAGATCAGAAAAAATTGAAAAATGATTTAAATTTTTTGAAATTAAACAAATTTTCGTACTTTTATGGACTGACGTATTAAATTTTAGCATTACTGAGAATTAAGTAGTAATTTATGAAAAACATAATTGTTAACATCTCTTAATGATACCTATTATTTCATACAAATATTACAATCCTGTTATTTATTTTAAAACTAATGAAACTGGATGACTCGTTCAAGTTTTAGTTATTCTCTCACATGTACAAGGTTAGGTGAGCTGGTAAGATGCTGGACTACGGTATTGGGATTCCAAAAATTTACGTGACTCTCGCGATGTATAGAGTAACTTGGGGCAAAAAAAACACAGGTCTTATGGGTGCAATTCTATTTTTATTTTTTTTTACACGGTCAACGATTGTAATATGATGAAAGCCTTTTAATAACATGTTTTTGAGCAGATGATAACACCTTAGCTTTTTTTTCCTAACTCAATTAGTTTTTTGCAGCTTAAAACTTTCCTTTGAAAGTACGGAAACGCACATTTAACCTGTACAAAAGTCATGTTTATACACCTATATATTAGCAGTATTGGGTGGGATTTGTACAGGTTAAATGTGCGTTTTCGTACTTTCAAAGGAAAGTTTTAAGCTAAGGTATTATCATCTCGTCAAAAACATGTTATTAGAAGGCTTTAATCGTATTACAATCGTTGAACGTGTAAAAAAATAAAAATAGAATGGCATCCGTAAGGCCTGTGTTATTTTTCCCCCAAGTGACTATATATACCACGAGAGTCACGAGACCTTTTGGAATTCCAATAAGAAATTTCGGGTTCAAGACCCCGCTTCAACATATACATATTAATTAATCCATCACTTTTTTATGTTTTAGTCGTAATATAGGTATTTTCGTATTAAAATGAATTTGTAAAGGGGTGCGTGTCTATAATAACTTATTATCACATATATATTACAACAAATAATGTAAACTTAAATCAATGAATGATAAATAAAAAATACTTTAAAAGACTATAAGTTTACATATTTATACAATCACATTAATAAACAAAAAGAGTTTCTTATTGATCCACTAAATAATATTACCTTACATGAAATTTGGGATACATTCAAAGCCTTTATCGTAACATTTTTTTAAACATGAAATTGAGTGCAAAGCTGAAAACGTTACAACTATGACTTCAAGTATACATTATAAACATAAAATACTTCTAAAATAGAATACCAGGAACTTTTTTCGTCACTACTTATTTAGTTTTAATAAATTTTTTCATGTACATCCTTATGTATGTCAATAGATATAGTTTTTTTTTTGTTTTTTTTTTTTTTTATATGATAGTGCTCTACGTCCGGCTCCTTTTAATAAGGGCACTACTATGGGCACTTAGCACTTTAGAGAAGGAAGGAAAGAGGGATGGGAGGCCTCCCATTGCTGGGAGGGGGGTAGGGGGAAATTAGGCAATTATTGCTGCGAGAAGGTCGCCCTAAACCCTCCTCGAGGAGCATTGCGTGGTGAAAAAGCACATGTGAGAAATCACAGAGGTACTTGCCCGAAAATGTCGCACAGGCCGGGAATCGAACTACGGTCTCCCACGTGCCAATCCACGACCTAGCCAACTGAGCCACCGCGCGCTCAACAGATATAGTTCTTAACAATTGTACAAACGATTATTACTTTTAAATATTGATGCCTACGTAATTTATTTTTTTTTAAATCAATTTCTTACGCATACTTCTAAAAATAACACAGTTATATTGATATTAAACTCATCAACTGTTTATTAAATTTTAATCTTGTTTTGTTAAACTTTAGTCTTAATTTTTAATTCCATTGCAAACCTGTTTATGATATTTGCTTTTAATACATGGTTCATAAATTTAATGCTCCCTGACAAAAATTTATAGCTGTAAATAT